CCAGATCGTAAATTAACACCTGTGGCTGTAAATTACCAGCTAAATCTGGGCTGGGGTCGGCTGCAAGATAGATGAGCATCAACGGGAGAAATAAATCTACAGCAGCAGCTCCCCAGGGGAAGCCCTGAGCCTCGGGAGCAGTCAGGGCTGGGTGGGGGGAGGGGGCAGACAGGGACAAAAGAGGAGAAAGAGTTTCTGTTTGGGGGCTGGGGCTCAGAAATAAAACAAGGGATCCCAGGCCCCCACGCCCCCATCATCATTCCCTGGGAAAAAAAGAGTGCAGGATGAGTCACGTGTCCAGGCTTCTGCCAGCTCTGGGGTTCCCTGCAGCTGCCCCTGCGAGCTGGGGCGTCCACCGGATTGCCCGTTATTCGTGGTGACAAGAGCAAATATAGACTCTCAGAGCGCTGAGGAGAGACAAGTGGAATAAGCGGCGTTTAAATCTTGGAAGAGAGAACCCGCCCTCGCTCGGCAGAGCCCCGCCCAGTGGGAGCTGTGGCCCTCATCATTCAAGTCCGCACTGAATTAAAAGGGGGAGCATCCTGGACTCTGCCCAGCTGGCACCGACTCCATCCCAATCCTTCAGTCGGCTGACATTTGTCCGTTTGTCACTCTTTGACAGAAAGGGATAAATTTCAAAAAGAAAAATAAACTCTGCCCTGGCCGGCGCGGCTCGGTGGGTCGGGCGGGTGTAAGTCGCGCAGAAAGGCTTCCGTTTAGATGGCCGGTCAGGGCCACATGCCCGGGTTGTGGGCTCGATCCCCGGCAGGGGGCGTGCAGGAGGCAGCGGGTGGATGTTTCGCCCTCACATCCATGTTTCTCTCTCTCTCTCTCTCTCTCTCTCTCTCTCTCTCTCTCTCTCCCTTTTTCTCTAAAAATCAATTTCAAAATCTTTTTAAAAGAAAGAAAATGTTATATCCCACAGCTCTCAGAGAGAGCCTGTCCTTGGCTGGGGTGCTCTGAGAGCAGCGGGCTGAAATCTGAACCAATGAGGGAAGAGACAGGACAGAACGAGAGCACTTGGGGGAGTCCTGAGTCGCTTGTAGGCAGCAACTCTGAAAAGCTGAAGTCACCAGCACCCTCCAAAAATAAAAGTCCCTTTCCTTGGGGCACCCTTCATCTCTTTGGCCTCACAAACTCTTTTTTTTTTTTTTTAATATATTTTATTGATTTTTTACAGAGAGAAGAGGAGAGGGATAGAGAGCCAGAAACCGATGAGAGCGAGACATCGATCAGCTGCTTCCTGCACACTCCCCACTGGGGATGTGCCGGCACCAAGGTACACGCCCCTGGCCGGAATCGAACCTGGGACCCTTGAGTCCGCAGGCCAACGCTCTATCCACTGAGCCAAACCGGTTAGGTAAACTCTTTTTTAAAAAAATATATTTTTATTGATTTCAAAGAGGAAGGGAGAGAGAGAAACATCAATGATGAGAGAGAATCATTGATCAACTGCCTCCTGCACGCCCCACACCAGGGATCCAGAGGGCAACCCTGGGCATATGCCCTGACCAGGGATTGAACCGTGACCTTCTGGCTCATAGATCAACATTCAACCACTGAGCCATGCTGGCCAGGCTCCAACCATTTTTTTTTTTTTTTTCTCCAACCATTTTTAAGGTAATAATATTGACAAGATCTATGATCTTGCAAAGCCATCTGTGACAAAAGACATAGAGCAGTGGTTCTTCACAACCCTGCTCTGTGGTGACCCCTGATGGACCCTCTCCTCAGCAAATGCACACGTGCGTGCGTGCGTGCGTGCGTGCGCACACGTACAGGCAGATGGTTTCAGGGACTACACACCCATTGTCCCTGGTTCAGCTCCCTGGCAGTTTAGAGGAAGCGATGTGAAAGCGGGGCTGAGACAAGGACAAAAGGAAGTTCAAGAGTGGCGTGTCTTTTTTCTTGGTGGTCCTGACTCACCAGCCCATGGGAAGACCCCTTGTTCCTCCATCCCCTCCGCCTGACCCTGCTCTCTGGTTCATTCCCCCTGGGGATAGGTCCACTTTGGGAGACACTAAAGGGTTATAGGACACCACTTAACCATTGATCTCATCCATTGGTCTTACCAAGCTGTCCCTGTGTGAGCCTCTGAGCTCCACACTTTAAGCCTTCGGACTCAGCTCTTCCAGACATTGAGGAAGCCAGGCCTTGGGAGACATCCTGCCTTCCCTTCACAGTCAGGTTGTACAGGTCGCCCAGGCCCCTGCCGCTACCCTATCTGGAGGCCCCAGGGGGGAGAACCTGCTTCTCTAATGAATCCTGAGCCTCTTAGTCTGATCCGGGCACCTCATACAGCTTCTCCTCCCTTCACATCCCAGAGCTAGGCCTCAGGCTGCCTTGGTATGAACATCTGCATATCTAAAACCCACATTTACATTTTATAACTTAGACTCCTGGGAAACTGGTCAGATAACAGCTCCAATATACTAAAGGGAAGGAAACAATTACCTTTGCAAACCCCACCAAAGGTGTGATAGGACGTGTCAGGTAGGATGTGGTGTGTCTCCAGAAGAATACTGTGAGCACCCTTCATCCAGGTGTGTCTATGGGTAGGTATTCTCTGGCTCAGGCTTGTCCTCTATCTGGCTTGTTGTGTATTCTCTCAAAGTGTAGTCTTTGTGCCTGTCCGTCTGGTTGGGGTGTCCTCAGTCTATTGAGCAGACCCTTGGGGTCAATGTGCGTTTTAGAGGCCTCAGTTTCCTCATTTGTAAAATGGGGCCGACACCTCACAGGACAGCTGTGAAGACTGCATAAGTTAATGCAGGTCCAGCCCTCGCAGCAGAGCATGGCGAGTAGGTGTGGATCATTGTAATGTGACGCCAACAGAAATCTCCAGCCTCTCTATCCCTTCCTCTCCCCAACTACCTCGAACCCTGGAAGCGGCTCCAATGTTCCCCCAGGAGAGCTCACTGTTAGGAGCCCGGGTGTTGGTGAATTGGAGGCCAGGTGACAGCAGTGGCAGCAGCAGTGGTACCTCCTCTTACTCAGTCAGCAAGCTGAGCCAAGCCAGAGCCAGAGGAGGAGGCCCTGCATGGGAAGTGGGGGTGAGCCAGGGGCCCCCTCAGAAACAGCTAAGAACCCTTGAAAAACCCCAACCTGAGTGCCCACTCTGGGACCCACCAGAATTTTCTTCCTTGTCTTAGAGACATATCAGAGCTGCCTTCAGGAAGAATCCTCTGTCCTCCTCCCCCACTTCTCTTGGCCCGGAGACACAAACTCCTCCCTAAACTGGTTCCATCCAGCCCAAAGCTGGGCTTTGCTGGAGCTTGTCTCTCTCTCCTCCTCTGGGCAGGGTTCCTGCTAAGTTATAGTAGTTTTGTCTTTCTTGCACCTATTCACCAAACACGTCCTTCGTGAGGCTCTCACAAGCATGAAGCAGGCTGGGGGAAGCCTTTCAGAGGTAAATGAGACCTCCTTTGGGCCTTGGAGAAGTCTTCATACTTAGGGATGAGGCAGAATAACAGACATCCACGTCAGAGATAGAGGCGAGAATGTTGTGGGTCCTTAAGGAATTGATTCAGACTCTCTGGAAGGCTTCCTGGAGGAGAGAGGCAGCAGATATGAGCCTTACCAGTAATAAAGAATATTTCAGCAGAGAAGAGAGGGAAATTTATTTTCATTTGCCCAAGATGATCTCATGGAATGAGCCCTAAACAGGTGCTAGAGGTTTGGTGTTTTAGTCCCAGTTCTGACCCTGACCAGTGGAAAGAGCTCACGTATATCATTTCCTTTTCAGAACCTCCCACTGCCTCATCTGTAAAGTGGGGTGTTAGATTAGATGAATTTGAAAGCAGCCACTAGTGAGCTGCGGATTGGCCAGTCTCTTGTGTTTATCACAAACAGGCAGCAAGCAAAATCAGGCTCTCCTCAAAGATGTGCATCCAAGTTAGACCCAGAGAATTGTCTCAGAAAAAAAAGGCCTGAGGGATTTCATGTCCTGTGTGTGCCCATGGCTGCAGCCTCAGCAGCCCAACTCCCAAGTGCTTGTCTTGGTCACAGCTGTTTGCCTGGCACCCAGCATTGTGTCTGGCACAATAAATGTTTATTGAATAAAGAGAATAAATGAGGTGACAGAGATAATGACCAGTTTCTTGGCTAGAACTGAAATCAGTCCTCCCCCCAGATCATCAGATCCTTTGGGCTTTTGCTCCTTAATACCGCCTGTCTGTAAGAGGAAAGAGGGCTGAGAGGAGCTGTCCTTTCAGAGGTCCAAGCTGGGGCCTCTGCTGCAATTACTAGAAAGTGGGTCACACAACTGCTCTGCAGAACACAGACCCTTGAGGAAAAGCCTGGATTCCATGTCCGCTTACATTTACTGAGTGCCTACTGTGTATTCGTTGTTGTCACGTAGCTTTAATTCATTTAATTGTGGCCTCAAAGGGCTGTACAGGAGAACGTGGGCGATGGGGAACCGTAAACCCCAGCAGCTGAGCGACCTCAGCCAAGTCACCGCCCCTCTCTGGGTGTTCATTTTCAATCTCTGTAAAATGGAGACTATAGAGCCACTGCGCCAGGTTATGGGAATGAAATGAGCACGTGGAAGAGGAGAGTTTCATGAACGCTAGTTATTATGGTTCCTCTGGGCACACAAGTCCGCTCACCTCGCCCCAGGGCGCATACACAGACATGTTCACACTCCCACGTACATGCAGATGCACAGAGACGCATGGAGACGCCAGCCGGAGGAGCTCGCTGAGCCTCGGACCCAGGGCCACCGCCGAGCTCCTCAGAGAAGCCACCGAGACCTCAGCGTCCCTCTTTTCCTCCCAGCTCTTTCTGAATGAACTCAGGCCGCGAGTTTATTTTTTTATGAATGAGAGCCCAAGCAGTGAATGAAGCCAGGAAGCAGCCCCGGCTTTCTGATTGGCCCCCGCGACTGGGAAACTCCGCCCCTCGGCTTGGCCAAGCGAGTCTCCGGATTGGCGGGCGTGCCCGGCCCTGGGGTTTCATTCACAAAAGTCAATGAAACAAAGGGAACGGGGTTGAGGGGGCAGGGGGGGAGAGAGCCTGGGCCGAGGCAAGGGAAATGCACCAATCGGCGGCTCCCCCGGGCACACAACTGTCCTCCGCGCCCGGAAAACTAGCTAGTGCGCTGGGGACCCGAGGCCCGGGCCGCCGCGCTCCGGCCTAGCCCCGCGGCCTCGCTGCCGCCCCAGAGCATGCTCAGGACCCCCTGCGTATCCAGCACTGAAGCCCCGGCCTCAGGTGAGGCTGAGGGAGGAAGAGGGAGGGAGAGTGCCCGTGATTCCCCGCCTAGCCTTCAACACACCCCACACTCTCACCGCCACCTCCGCAGATTCCAGGGCGGGGGTGGGAGGCGCTGAAATTCAGGGTTGGAGGGGGCGCGGGAGTTGTGGGCGTGCGAATGGTGCGCGCCTTGCCCGCTCCTCCGCGCGCGAGCACACACACACACACACACACACACACACTACACACACGTCTTATGTAACCGAGCCTGGGTAGATCAGGGCTGCAGAAAGCAGCCGACACGGCGAGCCCGGCTCCCGGGAGCAGGTGGGACCTCCGTTGGCGGGAGGGGAGTGGTGACGGCGCTCAGAGCTCAGCAAACGAAACCCCACCATCGCCTGAGTGAGTCGGAGAAGTTTTGCCGTCGGACCCAGAGCCTGGGGACGGTCCCCTCCCCGTCGCCCTGACCCACCCCACCCCGCTGCTTTCCCTGGACGGTGTGCGAACGCAGCCCCCCCTCCCAGGTCTCTGCCCCCGCGCGGGGCCCGGGCCTCGCGGCCGGAGGGAGCGGCCGGATGGAGCGGAGGATGAAAGGCGGATACTTGGACCAGCAAGTGCCCTACACCTTCTGCAGCGTGAGCGCCGCGCCTGCCTCCACGCCCGCCCCCGCCTGCACCTCGCCCCACAGCCCCTTCCCCCAGGCCCCAGGGGGTCCAGGGTTGCCCGGCCCCTGAATCACCCCGAGAACCCCGTCCCACCTCCTAGACCAGCCGGCCTCAGGGTGATTAAGGGGCATTCTTCTCCTTCCCGGTAGAAATCTCCCGGAAATGGGAGCTCGCGCGAAGCGCTGATGGTCCCGCAGGGGAAACTCATGGACCCCGGCTCCCTGCCGCCCCCCGACTCGGAAGGTAAAGAGCCAGAGAGAGAAACGCTACCCTCCCCACCACACACCCTCAAAGGACCGATCCTGGAGCCCCCACCCTTTTGCCAAAAAGACTCGCCTTCCAAGGGAGGCTGATCATTCTTGGCCCCTGCCACCCCAAGGGGGGTCGCCGGGCTCGCTGGGGCTCCCTCCCTCACCATCACCTCCACCTCACCTTCTCCAATTCCATTATTCACCCCTCAGATCTCTTCCAGGATCTAAGTCACTTCCAGGAGACGTGGCTCGCTGAAGGTGAGTAGTTTATGACCTTTTCCATTACTGGGTTGGGGGGGTGCTCTCAACCCCGCTATTCGAACCCAGCCCACTTCCTCTCTCCCCAGCCACAGAAGCTCTGCAAGCCCCCTCCCCAAGGCCCCGGCCTTCCTGCGGTCCCCAGTGCCCAGCATGGACACTTATATTGATATTTATTTTCTCTACCCCAGCCGGGCTTGTGTAACTAGGCCTGGGGATGAATCAGACCATTGTGTGGGGTATTTGCTTATTTGAATGGAACTTGGCCCCAGGCCCGTTTTCCTGGTTGAAATTTTCATTTGCAAAGTTTGTTTGGCAGCAACCACCAGGCTGAGGTGTGTGTTGGGGTGTTGGGGGGAGGGGTTCGAGGAACAGGAAGACGAGGAGAAAGAGCAATTAATTTGTGACGTATCTTCAGGAGTTGCCAAAACATTGGTTTTTACCTAAACTCTTGGTTTCTCTGCTTCCCAGCTCCCAGTGCCAAACAATTTTCTGTCTGAGCCAAAAGAACAACAAACGCTTAAATAATTCTTTTTTGCAGCACTTTGTCAAAGAAGGCTTTGAGCTCCCCCCTTCCCCTAATAGCCTTAATTGTCATTCTGATGGCAACTGAGCCTCCTCCTTTCCTCCTGAATTCCTCTACCCCAGGCAAATGCCCCCCACTTGTGTGCCAGTGGGGAGCTGGGCCTTGGTTCAGTGGGGAAGTGTTGGGGGGAGGAGGGTGGTCTCCTGGTTGGAGTCATTGGTGTGTTTTGGTGGGGCCTGAGGGTGTCGCTGGTGGGGCTGCAGGTAGGAGGCGAATGGTGTTTGGTCTCAGAAGGAAGGGTTAACACCCCCATCTTAGGGTCCCTTTATTTTAACTCTCTGAAAACCAAGAAACCTTTTCGAAGGCTTTTCTCTTCTTCAGACTCTCCCCAGCCCTCCACCTGGGTACCCTTGGTGATTTTTTTTTTTTTAAGCTCAAACCCTGCTCCTCTGGAACCCTCTGTAAAAGCTTGGTGTAGGAAGGAAAGATTCCTGATTAGATCCTTGGAGTGAGACTGGATCTGTCCTGACCACTGTGGTATCCCCCAAAATTATATATGTTACAGAATGAGTATTTAGCATAGAGCAAGTGCTGGAAACATTTTGTGGAATTCGTGGCTCACTGGCGACTCGAGTGCTGGAGGGGCCTGGGGGTTCTGGGGCACTGTGCATATCTCCCAGCTCGGCAAGCCCTGGGTGCCCCGCTGCGAGTTGCAGGCAGAGCTATGCCCGGGCTGCCCATCCTCCTCCCGAGGTTCCGGAGCTGGGCTGGAGCTGAAGAACGCAGAGGTGTCAGTTTCCACGTCTCTCAAAGACTTCCTTTCCCAGCGCCTGATTTCTGTCTGGCTCACCAGGCTCCTTGTCTGTCAGTTGAGGGTCCCAGCGCTCCCCACAGTGGGCAGCTCCCAGGGCTGTGATCGGGGAGTAGGCTCAGAGGTTGGCATTTTGGCAGCAGCTGGTCCATTTGTGCCTGGGTTGGAATGGGAAGGAGAGGAAAATGTTCACATCTTCTCTCAACCTTGGAAGCCCCACCCCTTGGCGGTGGGGGTCTAGGGACTGTACGAGTGTCTATGTGCATGTGTCAGTGTGACAGTCAGTGTGTGTGCTACATGCTGCTGTCCTGCAAGTCTCTGTACATTTAGATCCAGTGGGTGGGGAGGTGGGGGTGGGGATCGTAAGACGGAGGGGGGGGGGGGCGCTGGGATCTCCTCGGTTCCCTCTTCTTCCTTCTGAGGGAGCAGCTCAGGTTCCCAGCTGGCGATGGATGGCCATGCCTGAGGGGGGGGATGCTGAGGCCGCTTGCTCCTTCTCATTCTCTCTGTGGAGACAGATGCAGCTGCCGGGGCCCTGTCCCCCTGCACCACCCCAGCACCACCCCAGCCTCCTCTCCTGCCTCTTCCCACCAGGTCAGTGACCCCTGCAGCCCAGGGGGAGCTTTGGGGTGGCAGGGAGGGACTAGCCCCTTTGGAAACTTGCCAGAAATGGGGCGCATCCTTAGGAATGGGGGCCGAAGTCCAACAGCCGTCCCTCAGCCTGAATTTTCCCTACAAACCCAACTGGGAAAGAAGCAGCAGGCCCTTGTAATGTGTATGTGTGGAGGGGGAGATTGTGAAACATTCAATGGATGCCCAGGTTGGATCCAGGCTGATGTGATTGTGGGTTCAGAGTCTATCCGGGCATCATTGGGGGTGAGTGTGAGTAGGGTTCTGTAGGGGTAGGCAGTTCAGATATCTTTGGGGTTGGGGTTTTTGGAGACAGAGCGAAGGGGGATAAAGTGAGTCTAAGAGGGCATGTCTGGTTTCGGGGTGCCTGCGATCTGTTGAGTTGCCGGAGAAAGGATCGGGCTGCTGTACGGAAACGCAGGCTCCGGAGGCTGAGCCCATGCCGCGCTGGTTATGGCAAAAGGTGTGTTGCTTTTGGTCCAGAGCTGCTTTCCTGGCTTGTGGGGAACGCTCGGGGACAAGGACTTGGGTCTCTGTAAGGAACACGGACTGGGCCATCTATGGCCTTTGTGTGAGGCTGGGGTCTGTGGTGTCCCAGAAGCTCTGCAGATGAATTGCAGGGGTCCTTGAGCTCTCTGACAGTGTAAAATGTTGGGGTGTGCCAGACACAAAGGATTGTGGATTTTCTAGAAAGAGAATGATCCTCACCTTTTATGAGATTTTCAGAGATGGGTCTCTGCTCCCCCTTTCATAAGAGTCACTGCCCTCAATCCCCCTCCGAGGTGTCCAGTCCCCTGGCCCTTCGGTTTCCCCCATTGTCTTTGTAAATCCAAGGAGACCCTTTGTGTGAAGGGAGCGCCTGGGGGATGTGTTTTACTCGTGTGCTGCTGTGAAGTAAAAGGACGTAGGGTGTGTGTGGATCCCTGTGTGTGCCCGCCAGTGCCTTAGCATGTCTGTGGGGAGAGATGAGGTTAATCCCATCCCCCAGTCTTTTAGCTACAATACCTCCTTCTACGTATTTCCGTCGCCATCTCTTCTAGAAGGTTCTTGGGGACAGATGTCTGCTCCATAGGTACAGAACTGGTTCCTTCCAGTGCAGAGGGTGGGTGCAGGGTAAGGGTGAGAGCTGAGGCCAGCATTGACACAGAGGAGCAGAAGCTTTGGGGGATGGCTCCCCGCCTCTCCACTGGGATTCCTTAAGAGGCCCCTTCATCCTGCGATTGGGACCTAGGAAGGGGAGATGGTGATGGGCTTACATGATGTTGGTGAATGGCTGATCTGAGGTGGAATTAGCTGCTTGGCTGGCTTAACCTTCCAGTTCAGGTGCCCTGCTTGGGAAGTCCCCAAGCCCCTCCTCTTCTACTACCTACCCCATCCCCTCCCCCTCCCCCTGCCCAGCCTCTTTGTTAGAAGGATGTTCCCTAAATTTCTCTCTTTGGGCATTTTGCTGGCTTGGCACTTTGCCCATCCTTCATCACCTGCCATGTCCTCGAGCAGATCATCTCAACCTTAGTGCCGGGTGGAGTTGGGGGAAGACTAGCACACTGGCTTGGCAGCCAAAACTCAGCCAAGTTAACAAATAAATAAAGAGTGGCGTACACTCAAGACCAAACATGGTCATTAGAAATCTCCTGCTCTCCAGGAACATGAGGTGCAATGTTAAATGTTCCTGTTCCTATTTCTGTTTGTTGCTGTTGTTAATCCTCACCCCAGGATATTTTCCCATTGATTTTTAGAGAGAGAGGAAGGGCGGGGGGCGGGGGGGGGGGGGGAGACAGGGAGAGAAACATCGATGTATCGATTGGTTGCCTCCCCGGTCGAGCCTGCAACCGAGGTACATGCCCTTGACTGGAATCAAACCCAGGACCCTTCAGTCCACAGGCCGATGCTCTATCCACTGAGCCAAACTGGGTAGGGCTTACTGTTCCTATTTCTATCTTTGTTAACAGTTTCTGAGCAACTGAGGCCCTGTCCCGCTCCTTTGGGAGAAGCCAGTGTTCTAGGGAAGGGCCAATCAGGGACTGGGTTCATGCCACAGCCCATTTTTCCCTCCACTGATTTCTCCTGGCCCTGGGAAGAGGGTGGCATCACCTCTTCTGGAGTGTGGTCTGTGTGCTGGGCGTGGCACACAGCCTCTGGGTCTGCTGTGGAGAGGAGGTCCTGGCCAAATCTTCAGGCCTGGGGTAGCAGGCGAGGCAAGATGAACCCTAGGGTTGTCATGTGAACTGGCATGTGACGTCAGTAGGAGATGCCCCCAGCCATTACCTCAGTAGAAAGCAGCAGTTAATGAAGCCCCAGAGGGGACTCTAGTGCGTCAGCCTCCCCATGGTCTGCACCCCCCACCTCCCGTCCTCAGGTCCCGCCTTGCCAAGTAGCAGGGATGGAAATGTTGTTCATCCTGCTCCCATTACCCCCATCCAGCCACCTGTGGTTGGGCCAGAGGACACAGCGTGGATGAATGTAGGCTTGCACCAATCTTGCCCATTCTTACTGGCACTTGTTACAAATAAAGATGCCTGGACCCCACCCAGGGCCTTTGGAATGAGACTTGGGGGTGGCTTGGAATCCATGTTTTAACAATGTCCCCAGATTCGTGATCCAGGCCAGTTAGGGAATGGTTGCCTTTGTGCCCAAGTGGCGCTTCTGAAAAGATGTGTGCTCCCTGTGTGTTTGTGTTTTTGCCAAGGGATTTTGTGTCCCACTGACTTACTTGGTCACTTTAGAATTGTTTTACGTTGATGTTTCATCAATTCTTTAGCTGTTGGTGGCTCCTGATTCTTAAACCCCCTCTGCCCAATCCCTCTGTCAAGAAGTCAACTGCCTATAAACATCTATTTTAATAAAACACTTGAGTTTTAAAGAGTGGCGTACACTCAAGACCAAACATGATCTTTAAAGCAAGTTGGTGAAGAATTTTCCTGCCACAGCCTCAAGTGTCCCACGTGAGAAGGGTTTACCCCAGAGGACCTGCCTCTAATGGTACCTGGTGGTGGAGAGGGGATGCCCTCAGGGTGAAGGAAGGGCTGGTTGGTCAGGATCTCTTCAGTTCTTGCTCCCAGGCCTGCCACCCTGGCTCCCACCAGCCTGAGGACAGAGGTCATTCTATCTTTATTCACAAAATTGACAAATGATGCATTGAGTGCCTATTCTGAGCCAGACGCCATTCCTGGGGTACTGGGGAATCAGATGAAAAGACAGATAAGCCCCATGCCCTCAGCAAGCTTAACTTCCTGGTAGAAGAGATGGACAAGAAACATGTGAACATAGTAAGTTCAAGTACCCATACAGTGCTGGGGAAGAAATAAAATGGATGCGAGAAAGGACTGGGAGGGGGACCACTTTGGTCTGGGTGGTCAGAGAAGACCTCTGAGGAGGTGACAAAGTGAACTAAAACTTCAGTGGCCAGGAAAAAAATAGGCAGGCAAAGATCTGGGGAAGAGGGATCAAGCTGATGAGCTTTGAAAGGAGGCCAGAGCTCTAGAGAGTAAAGGGCCAGCAGAGGCAGGTCAAAGAGGGAAGCAGCATCAGACCACGCGGGGCCCTGGAGGCCGAGGGGAAGAGTTTGGGGTTCACACTTTAAGCAGGAGAGCGAAGTGATTTGACTTCTGTTGCCCTGACAGCTCTGTGGAGAACAACCGACAATGGGAGGTGAGAGTGGACGTAGGGAGTTTTGATCCGATTTGTGGCTGAAATCACCAAGGAAGCAACTATGGAGCCCTTTGCCCAGGAGCAAAGCAGTAGAGTCTGGGGTGTCTATTCGTACAGGCTAGGATGAGGGAGGGTGTTCTCCAGCCGTCCCCTTGGACCCTCACCCTTACCAGCCATTCCTGATTCTGGTCATCTTCTCCATCAGCTTCTCCACTGTCTAATCTGAGGGCAGTCTCCTTGGGTTTTATCACCTCACCTTTGAGCCCCTCTCTTCCTGGACTATCAGGAAGTTCTTCTTGGTGTCTTCCCTTTCCCTTCCTGCTATAATCTATTCTTGAGAGAGGGACAAACCTGGGCAAAGACTCTGGAGTCAGGGGAGGTATTCAGCTGTAGACCCACCTGAAGGAGTTGGTGAGACCAGAATAAGAACTGGAAATCAACCCAGATGTCCAGGTTGGAGGCCATGGATGAGCTACTGTTTTACTTTAGTTTTGCTGCCTAATTCCCAAACCCAGCTCCACCCCCACTGCACCTGGGAATGCTCCTCAAGAACTTCCAAGCCTGGGAGCCCTTCTCTCTTCTAGCTGCACATCAAAGGGATGAGGCCCTGACCTCCCAGTGTCCCAGCCTCTTGCTCTCCATTGTCAGCCTTTTTTTTTTTTTTTTTTTTTTTTACCTGTTCGAACCACCCTCTTTTCTCCATTCCATCTCTTTTCCTGGGATCTAATTTCTAGATTTCACCTTGGAGGTTGTATAAAATGCAGATTCTATCCCAGATTCAGAATCTCCCCTGCGATTCAAAGTTCACAGGATCTCACTCCTTGTAATGCCTGCCCATCCCAGATGTGACTGCTGTTGCTTTGAGAGAGCTTTGTAAACTCTGAGGGGCAGGGCTGTCTTCACTTCAGAAAAATGGAGGGAATAAAGACAAAGCATCTAGGAAAAGACTGGAATCTGCTCAGACAGGTTCTGAGCATCTGCAGCCTCTCCCCTCCAGAGTCTTAATGGAGCCAGCGATGGAGGGCACTAGGACCCGGTGTGGAGTTGCCTTTATTCCTAAGAAGGCTGTTTTATTTTTGGGGTGGGTGCTAAGCTGCTGGGCTGCTTTAATGGTATCTCCCAGGGGCTGCCATCCAGGGCCCCACCCTCCCTCCCACTCTAGATTCACCTTTGACCTCTCTTCGCAGCTCAGGTACCAGATAGTGATGAACAGTTTGTTCCTGATTTCCATTCAGAAAACTGTGAGTAGAGAGGGCCCTGGGTAGAGGGAATGGGGAGTGGGGAAGGGCAGGAAATGAGTCACAGGGACAGAGAATCACAAAAGATCAACTTGTTCTCTCCTAAAGAAAGGGGTGAAGGGAAGGGCTCCCCATTCTTGGGTTTGGACTCAAAGACCAAGGCAGTAACTGGGACATGAAGACCTTGGGGGCTTCTCCATCCTAGCTGGGTGACCTTGGAGCAGACACTTCATCTCTCTGACCCTCTATTTCCTTATTGCTGAAATGGGCAGGCTTGGACCAGGCCAGCAGGGTCCAGTTCTAAGTTACTTCCATGCAACTTGGGAGCTATTTTGTGCACCCCGCCCCCCAACCCATTAGCAATGTCTGTAGACATTTTTAGTTGCCACAACTGGAGCTAGATGCTCCCGGCCCCTCGTGGGGAGTGTCGTGGGATGCTACTAATACCCTACAATGCTCAGGCTAGCCCCCCAACAAAACATTCTCTGGCCCAAATGTCAGAAGTGCCGCTGTTGAGAAACCCTGTCTTATGCCAGGCACTTTGCTCTCCACTGTCTTCCCCAATGAAATGAAACGGGGCACACATAATTGGAAACAGCAGATAACAGATGGGTTGATGGTAGGCATTTGACCCGGCTGCAGTAAGACAGGACCACACACTCTGCCAGCTCGGACCCAGCTCTGTGCTTCTCCGCCTGGTGGCTGCAGTTTGTGGACGCAGCAGGGGCTACAGGAAAGGCCAATGTTCTCCACAGATAACGAGGAGCGTGTGTATCATGTTCGTCAGCTGACATGCGAGTGGCTAATATCCAACCTCCATCAGAAAAGAAAGATTCTTTACAGCCCCAAACAGGAAAACATCTCTCTCCCATGGAATTTTCCAGGGCGCTTGGGAAAACCACAGGCCCTCGGTTGAAAGTGCTCGCCCCTACAAAGGTGTTTTGCCTGGGGGCGGGGGGGGGGGCGTTGCATTAAATGTTGAACTCGAGACCATTTCTTTGGTTAATATTAGACACTATTAGACACTTTCCTGATGTAGAAAACTAGACATAACGTAAGTAGCCAAACTGCTTAAAAGTGTGTGACTATGACTCTGAAAACTGAGGCCCAGAGGAGGGACGAGGCCGTGCCGGTCACCCAGCGGGTCCTCAGAGAGCAGGTATAGGAAGCTCTTACTGCCTCTTCTGAGACACTCTCTGCCCTGCTCTCCCCCCCCCCCCCCCCCAGTAGCTTTCCACAGCCCCACCACCAGGATCAAGGAGGAGCCCCAGAGTCCCCGGACAGACCCGGCCCTGTCCTGCAGCAGGAAGCCGCCACTCCCCTACCACCATGGCGAGCAGTGCCTTTATTCCAGGTGAGAGGGCCGGCCCTGGAGGGGGGTTGGGGGGGGGGGGCGTCACACACTCATGAACAGAGGCAGCAGTTGAGATGCAAGTGAGACAACAGAAAGGATTTCCGAGCTCCTGTAAGGGAGCAGTACAGTGAGGGTGAGAAACGCAGGCGTGGGGGCCGAGGGAGCTGTGTGAAGGCTGGCCGAGTTTGTTTCCGCTGAAGAAGCCCAGTGGCTCTGGGCTGGGGAGAAGTGTTCTCCAGTCCACACCCAGTCTCAGCATGTGTGAAAGGTGGAAAAGAGTGCATTTGGGACCCAGTCTAGCTCATGCCATTCCTTTCCCAGCACCCTGTCCTCTTCCTGCTCCTATAATCCCCGTGCCCTGACTTCTCTGGGGGTGGATGAAGGGTGCAAAGATGCTCGCCTGGCTTCTCTGCCCCCTCACCCCTGTCTCCCCCTCAACTCCAGTGCCTATGACCCCCCTAGACAAATCGCCATCAAGTCCCCCGCCCCTGGTGCCCCCGGACAGTCGCCCCTGCAGCCCTTTCCCCGGGCAGAACAACGGAGTTTCGTGAGATCCTCTGGCACCTCCCAGCCCCACCCTGGCCACGGGTACCTCGGGGAGCATAGGTAAGGAGACTCCCAGCATGGGAGCCGAGATCTCAGCAGTTTTCCCTCAGTCCCTGAGGGTCCTCCATCTGCCCTTAAGAGACCTGGTGTGGGGGAGGTAGGGAGGAAGGGATATGGATTCCCACTCTGCAAGCTTTGGGAGTGGCAGGCACGCGGAGGACTTCATCTAATCCTCTCTTCCTTCTCCATCCACCCATATCCAGCTCCGTCTTCCAGCAGCCCTTGGATATTTGCCACTCCTTCACATCCTCTCAGGGAGGGGGCCGGGAACCCCTCCCAACCCCCTACCAACACCAGCTGTCGGAGCCCTGCCCACCCTACCCCCAGCAGAGCTTCAAGCAGGAATACCTTGACCCCCTGTACGAACAGCTGGCCATGGGCCAGGGTGGGGTCAATGGGCACAGGTACCCAGGGGCGGGGGTGGTGATCAAACAAGAGCAGACGGACTTCGCCTATGACTCGGGTAAGAGACATTTCAGGTGGGAGGGGCTGGGGTGAGATTGCTGGGTGGGGTGGCATGATAACCCCCACAATGTCTTTCCCCAAGTTCTTTACCCTCCTATCTTTTTAATGGTTCACAAACCCATCCCATTCACTTCCTTCATAGAGTCAGAAAAATTGTCATTTTTTCAATCAGCAAACTTATATTCAGATAAAAAATAAATGGGATGTAGGTCCCTACCCTCAGGTAGCACGCGACTTAATAGGAAAGTTAAGACATGTCTTTCAATGTCTATTTAGCAGGTGTCTGGGGTTTTAATTACCTGTAGCGACCACAGTACTGTTTGAGGAGTATGAATTTGTGGAGTTAGAGGATACAAAGATTAATAAGTTGTTCTCAGTCCCAGAGATGCTTAACAATACAAAGGGAGCCCAGGGTGGCTCATCAGTTGAGCGTTGACCCATGAACCAGGAGATGAGGGTTCAATCCCCAATTCCGGCTCAATCCCCAGTCTGGGGTGTGCAGGAGGCAGCCAATCAATGATTCTCTCTCATCATTGATGTTTCTCTCCCTCTCCTTTCCTCTCTCTGAAATCAATAAAAAAAAAAAATCTATGTTTTAAAAATACGAAGGGATTTGAATGAAGAGAAACATGAACTTGAAACTAGCCAGGTTCATAGTTCCCAGTTGGGACTCAGGGTTAATACAACGTGGTCAAGCCCACCCTCTTGGCCAGCGCTGGGTACGGAAGTAGGGGCTGCTGTAAATTCTAGTTCCACCCCTTGTTGACCTGAGTGAGATGCCCTCAGCCATATTCTATTCATAAATAGCTGTAGTTCAAAGCCCCAAGTGCACAGGGATGGCCCTTCTCGGGGAGGAAGGGCCCAGAAAACCTTGGCTTGTTACACTGTTCCCATCCCCGATTGAGTTTCTATGCAAAGTTGCATGAGAAAAATATTCAGCCATTAGAATAGGCTCAGAGCTGGCCAGAGCTTTCGAATTTCCCTTTTTCTGATGCACAGTCTTTTAGGGGCAGGGGAATGAACCACAAACCCCCAGGCTGCCTGAGTGAGAACCAGAAGGGCGCACCTCTCCTCAACCCGGGGCATAAGCCTGAGCCACGCCTGGCAGTGAGGTGCAGGAAAGAGGAGGGAGACGCTCTTGCCGCTGACCTTCAAAGGATGTAGACCGGAGGAGATCTTGTTACTTGCCCTTGAACTCCTGCCCCTCCCCCTTCAGCTTCCTCTGAAAGGAGTCAGGAATTCCATTCACAAAATGGATGCATGAATGAGCCCACTCTCCCGCCTCCTCCCGGAGGTGTCAGGTTTCACCATCTCATTCATAGGTGGGAGTGGAGGGCCGAAGGGACTGGAGCTTGAATGGGTGGCTTCACACCACCAACTCCTCCAGGTGGAGTGGGGATGTTTCAATCCTATGGAATGGAATCAGATGGAGTGGAATGTGCTCTGCTGTCAGAGCTGGAAAAAAAAAAAAAAACCAGGCCCAGTGCCCACTGCCTCTTCCCTAGTTACAGATCCATGCAGGCGCTCCCTCCCACCCACTCTCCTTTCCTCCACTGGTTCCTCCCTCCCTCATGTAACACACTGGGCAGGGAATCTGACCTGCTGACCGGAGGTTAGCCCATTCCAAGGGAGTCTTAGACATGGACACTGTACCCTTTCCCCGGAGGTTCATCTCTATCCCTGCCTCCTCCCCCTAAACTCACAGGAAACAGCTGCTCCCTGGAATCCTGGGCCTTGTGGAACAGCTTTACCCAGCCCCAGCTGCTGCCATCCCTGCCCCCTGGCTCAGCCTCAAGCTGAAGGGTTCCAGCCTCACACCCCCTCTGGGTGAACTTCCCCTGGGACTGTGGTAGGCAGGCAGCTGGGAACAGAACCGGAAAGCAGGCCGGCAGGAAGTTCTTAAGTGTGTGTAGGCCTGCTGCCCCCACCTCCACCCCAGCCACCTATAACATCCCCCTTCCTTCTCTACCCCCAGATGTCCCTGGGTGTGCGTCCATGTACCTACACACAGAGGGTTTCCCCGGACCCTCTCCAGGTGATGGGACCATGGGTAAGGCAGCCCCCTCTCCCTGCCAAGTCCTCCAAGTTGGGGGAGGGTCTCCTGACCAGGAATCCCTCTGGACACTCTGGGGTCTCATCAGTGAACCCCCAGATCTGAGTGACCCCCAACTTCCTCCTCAAGGCTATGGCTATGAGAAACCTGTGCGACCATTCCCAGATGATGTCTGTGTCGTCCCTGAGAAATTTGAAGGTCAGAGACGTGACTGTTCATGAGAGGGGCAGGTTTTTTTTCCGTGCCCTCTGACTGTGTCACCTGGGAATCACATGACATTTCATGAGAAAGGGCCTGGAAAGACCCCGGGGAGAGAAGGTTGCTTGGGGGACCCGCAGGCACAAACCCTACACTTCTGTTTCTTGTGTTCCCCAGGAGACATCAAGCAGGAAGGGATGGGAGCGTTCCGAGAGGGACCGCCCTACCAGCGCCGGGGTGCCTTGCAGCTGTGGCAGTTTCTCGTGGCCCTGCTCGATGACCCAACGAATGCTCACTTCATTGCCTGGACGGGCCGGGGGATGGAGTTCAAGCTAATAGAGCCTGAGGAGGTGGGCCTCTCAGATGTCCGCCCCCCCCCCCCCCCCTCCTTCCAACGGATTTTGGGCCTGGAGATGAGAGAACCTGGGAACGGGCACATGCGTCTTCACCATCATCGTTGCTTTAACTAACCTGAATTCTTACCAAACCAGGGTCTTTGAGCTGGTTATTTGCCTGACCAGCTCAGCATTTTGCACTAAAAATCTCAAGTGCTCTCTCTGACCTGCCTCTCGCTTTTCCTCTGCTGAGCTAGCATCGCCATCCCAAAATTCTCCTGTTCCCCCAGGTCGCCAGGCTCTGGGGCATCCAGAAGAACCGGCCCGCCATGAATTACGACAAACTGAGCCGCTCACTCCGATACTATTATGAGAAAGGCATCATGCAGAAGGTCAAGGGCTAGGGGTCCAGGGACAAGAGGGTGGGGGCAGGGGGACAGAAGAGCATTCTTAGGAGCTTGTAGGAGCAGATAGACAGGGAACCAGTCAGAAGGGACAAGAAATTGTGGACAATCCCCAAAAAGTGCTAAACATTAAGAAGTCCAGAGCATGGAGAGATTGAGATTAGAGGTGAACCCCAGAAGGGAGTTGGCTGCTTAGAGGAACGAGTATGGAGAGAAATGTACTCCACACATCTGCCTAGACCCATTCCCCACCCTTAACATTGACCTGGAGAGAGTTAGACTGACCCAGCCCCTCTCTTCCCGCAGGTGGCTGGAGAGCGTTATGTGTACAAGTTCGTGTGCGAGCCTGAGGCCCTCTTCTCTCTGGCCTTCCCGGACAATCAGCGTCCAGCTCTCAAGGCCGAGTTTGACAGGCCGGTCAGTGAGGAAGACACAGTCCCTTTGTCCCACTTGGACGAGAGCCCTGCCTACCTCCCAGAGCTGGCTGGTCCTACCCAGCCCTTTGGCCCCAAGGGTGGCTACTCCTACTAGCCCCCAGCAGCTGCTCCCTGGCCACCGGGGTGCTGTCCTGTGTACATATAGATGAATTTGGTGTTGGGGAAACCCTCACTCTGAAACCCACAGATGTCTTGGAGCAGGTCCCCACTGGCCTATCAGCCGCCCTGGCCCAGACTCTGAGCCGTGCACCAGAGTCCCTGGGAAGGACAAGTGGAGACACTCCAAGTGCAAGGTGGAGTCAGAAACTCCTGGGGGTCTCACCTCTGGCCTCTTCCTAAGTCCATCTTAGAGGCCCAAGACCCTCCCCCACCCCCCGTCACAGAGAACAAGAGTTTGTTCTGTTCTGGGGGACAAAGCAGCACCCCTCCTTTATCCTGGTGCAGAGGATGCACTGAGCTCCCAGATCGCCCACTGTGGGGAGGCAGAAGCCTGGATCTTGCACTCCACTCCAAGCTGTGGCCCTGGAGGGTCCTGCTTGTCAGTTCTTGGTGCTCCGTTTCCCAGAGGCAGGGGCAGGGGAAGGGGCGCTGGAGGAAGGAACGTGGGATGGGGGCGGGGATGGAGGCAGGGAGGGCTCGGTTCCTGCTCTGAGGGCCCTTTGCTCTGCCCGTTCCTAGGCCCAGGCCTGGGGTGTCACCCTAATAAAGGCCCCTGCTTCTCCTGTTCTCCTGTGTCGTCCTCTTTGCTGCCATGGGAGAAGGACCCAGGGTTTAAAAGAGTTTGACCTTGGGGCAGATGACCAGTTTGGGGTGTTTCCCTGACACAAGTTACCAAATGGGTTCTTGGAAAAGGACAGTTCACCTTTTTCCTCTGGAAAATGGGTTCATGGGCGCAGTGATACTTGCTCTTTTCCCCTCCCAGGATTATTGTGGGAACACCCTGAAATCATGTGCGTAGGGCACTTTGTAATCTAGACCAGTGCTTCTTGCCCTCTCCCTGTGGGGGTGGGGCTACTGAGCTCTGAGGCCTCCTGGAGCCTGTTCAGGCAGGGTTTGGCCTGTGGTTTGTGATCACAGTTGCTCCCGTGAGCCACAAACAGCGTGTCCCCGCTCCTGCCATGGCTCCAGGTTGCTGTTTCTGCTGAAGTTGGGGACAAGAGTTTGGAGAGGATTTGGAGAATGGAAAAAGGCACCCAGACACAGGGGTGAAGGGAGGCTGGAACAAGCCCTGGGTCTGGCCAGTGTAGGAAAAGGACACTAGATCTTTGGGGGAAAGGTAAGTGGGGATCAGATTTTCCTTGCCCAAATCTGGGGGAGAGCAGAACCCTGGAGTCGAGTGTTGGGGGGGGGGTGCGGGAGGGCAAGGCTGAAAAACCGGTGACACCTAGAGAAAGGAGTGTGAGTATGACAAAGGGGTTCTGTGGAGGTACGAGGCCGCTGTAGGCCCAGGCCCTGTGCAAACAGCTTCCCAGGAGCCAGGCGCTCGCCAGTTAAATCCGAACCACAGCCATGCTGAGGCTGGACTGCCCTACCCCCCAAGCCTGCCACACCTCCACCCTACGTTTCTGCTCAGCACTAATGCTAAGACCCAATAGTCCTCACAGGAAGGGATGCCTCTCGACCACTACCTACAAATAAAAAGCAACATTTTACTCCCCTAGAAACAAAATAACAATGTACTGATGTTTTCAAAATTTAGAGCAAGGAAAATAAAATTTTTAAATACAAGTGTAAAATATATAATTATATATAATTATATATAATTTAATTCCACATTAAAGCCAGGGTATCACAGCAAGAAGGTGAAAAATTTGAATGGAATGGAAACAGGTCCTGAGCACTGCACATGACACGGGGATTTAGATGAGAATCAGCATCGTGGAAAAACATCTTGCAGGCTGAGACCTGTGACCTCTGACCTCTAAAATGTTCACTAACAAGCCACTCCTCACAACTCTGTTCAAAGCTTTAAACTTGGAGGGGCACTGCTCCGAGGCGACAGCTACACAGCCCCCCGAGGAAACTCCTCGGGCCAAAGGAAAGAGCCAAAACCAAACATGCTCCAGACTGGATGAAGGTGAACCCCGGGCCGAGAAGCCTGACCCAGCAGTAGAGCTCACACATGCCCCCTGGGGACGGTCCCCCCACATCCACAAACAAGCACAGACTCAGCACATGTGCAGGGGCAGGAAACTCCTGAGCTGGGCTCCCGCAGGGGTGCAGTGAACAGTAGACTTTAATGGCCAAGAAGATTCCAGCTCCCTGCATGAGACCCACATCCTCTCCAGGGTTGTCATTCAACCTCGGGTAATATTGGTTCAAGGAAGAGAAACAAGGGCCCCATTGTGTGGAAGCAGCAGGCCAGAGTCCTTCTGAATCGCTGCAAGCCCCCTTCTGAGCAGACTGGGCAATGCGTTTCCTGATGGACAGTCAGGTCAGACCCCACCATGTGATAGCAGAGAAGTTACCCCAGCACCTAGGGGGATGTTCAAGAACACCCACAGAGCTAGGATCCTTCATTTTTCATACCAAAACCCAGAAAGATGACCAGCCCTGTCTCTCACCTTGGCCTGTTAAACATCCCCTTCTCAACCTGAGCTTATCCACAAAGTCCATCTTCAGGGATTATGATCTCAGAGGTGCCAATGCCATCAGTGCTGGTCACTCCTCTGGGACAGAAGCCCAGAGTTGGTTCCTGGAGACCTGGGCTGGAATTAAGACTGGGGAGCTGGGTGCCCGGCCAATACGGCCTTTTCCGTTTCCTCTGTCAGCCCCTGCACTCTTCTCCCTTTAAGGCCTTAAGTGTTAGCACACAAACATCCCCCTGCCCTTCATTACAGGCCTGGGCTTCCTGAGGAGCGCACTCAAACAGAATCCGAGGCTCACGCTCAGCTCAAGAGGGGCAGGGACCTCAGTCGGCAGACTCCCTGGCCTATATTCCTCTCACTGGGTTCTCTGAATGGTGTCTTTAGAGCGATTTGTCTGCGGCCCAATGACAGCCTACATTCCTTCATTTCCTGCAATGTTGCATAGTCTTTCAATGCCTGGCTACACTTCTATGGCAGTTCTAGTATTTACATAATTTCAGAACTTACTAGAATGGGGGAGGTAGTGCAGGCAACATACAAGGTGCCTAACTGCCCAGGGGCTTCTAAACAAGCCCCACATCCAGAGCAGCTTTCCAGACGTCCCACAGCCCGGCCTGGCAGCATCTGTCTGATATTCTTCCTAGTCAAGAGCCTCCTCAAAAACGGTGAGAAGCCCTGGCCGGGTAGCTCAGTTGGGCAGAGTGTTGCTCTGATATGCCAAGGTTGTGGATTCCGTCTCCGGTCAGGGCACATACAAGCAACCAACAAATGCATAAATAAGTGCAACAACAAATCAATGTTTCTGTCTCTCTCTAAAAAAAAAAAAATAATCAATAAAAATTTAAAAATAACTGGGCACTGGGAAGTGGCTATTCCACAACAGAATGCTAAGAGCACACCACTCAGTGAGGGAGCCAGAGCGCAGATACTGGGCAGCACAAACCGGCTCTGAGAGGTGTCATGTTGGTTTTCTGTTTGGGACAAGGGAGGGGAAGCTTTGACCATAAAAACCCTTTGTTAAAGCCCATCAAGGACCTCAGGGAAAACAAAATAAAAGCTTTGTGATTACTCGCACGTTTCAAAAGGAAATAGGATACGCTGCACATGGCGAGTGTGGTAGGTGGGAGAGCCAGGGACAGCCTTCTGTATTCAATGTGTGGCATCTGTAACCACTCAGGCGCCAGACCTGAGAGCCTGTGCAATGGAAGAGGTTAATCGTGGGGCGACCCGCGGCAGGGCTGGGACAGCGTAGGTGCCAAGACGGGAGATCTGCGCTGTGCATCACCTCTCAGCCTAAAGAGGCCCTGGGCTCTGGTTTCAGGGGACTCTCCACCATGTACACCAAAGCCCCAGATACTAAGTCCCCCCATCCTGAGTCCAGGCCAATATCCTAACCTTTCAGCTCAAAGAAATCTTCACAGAAAACCATTTTTGTTTCCTTAAGAAAATAAATATTATCGGGTCAAGGGGAAGTACAAGGGCTGGACAGGAGCAGGAAGTGGGGCCAACACTTTCAATGAGCTTCATGGCTCCCTCCTCCACGCAGTACCAGCTAGGGCATCAGGGTCCCCATCGTGTCCATCTGTCTGCATGTCCAGGTGTCCGATGTTCACAACCCATTTCCCATCCCAGGGCTGCACGAGTTACCCCTTTCTTGGAGATGATACAGTGTACCCCGTGTTGGCTGTGAGCCCCAGGTGGCCCCAGTGACTTGGGGTAGTGCAGGCTGGACATTCTGGTCAAACCAGGCGTAAATCCCTGTTTCTATTTTACCACAGGGGAAGAAATGCAAATCAAGTTTGGAAGATGTCCAGTTAAGATCGTATCCTCATGGTCAGCTTTTCAACAAAAAGAGTGAGTCAAGCCCTGGGCCACTGCCGCGGGAGAGACAAACAAGTCTTGCCTGTCAGCGCCGCCGGAAAGCCCGGGATATTCTCCAGGCGTTGGGCTCCTCGTAGCGGTTGTACAAGGGTTCCAGGCGCTGCTGCTTCTTCTGCTTGCTTAACTTCGTCGGGTCGGAGACCTTGAAGAAGGCAGGAGCGAACTCCACAAGCCACCGGGGGTCGATGGTGGTGACCTCACGCATGTACTCCTTTGTGGTCAGCACCAGCTCATGGTACACCACCCTGAGGGGATAAAGACAGGATCGAGTCTCCAGTCACCCTGGTCCCCGATGGGCCGCAGCTGAGCTTGCATTTTAGCCTCTCACCTCTCCTGCCTGACCCCGCAGGAGACTGTAGTCTCTCTTTATTACAACCACACTCTAATACCTAGGAGGCTGCACACCTCTAAGCACAAGAAAGCTGTCAGAATCATGTGTTCTAGACCTGGCTCTGGCTCCATCTATTCATTGACAGAGTCGATCACGCCACTTCTCTGGACCTGTTTCCTGCTCTGTGAAACTGGACGGTGGTTTTTCAGGCTGTCTCCACAGAACTCTAGGGCCCTGGAGAGGAGCCTCAGGAGCTGCCACAGGGAGATGGGGGAAAGCCAAGCAGGCAAGGCTCCATATCTCCAACCCTCCTATCATGGCGGCACAATGGTCTTAAATCCGTTTTATACTAGGATAGGTAAGATTACAATTTTTTTTAAATGCTACTTGAAAAAATTTCTTTAAACCACCTCACTAAATGATTTCAAAGATCCTTCCTACCTCTCATTCCCATTATTTTATTGCTCTCAAGAGTCTGCTGTGCCTAATTCACACTTCTGCTGCCCTAGAAATATAGGCAGTGTTAGAATAGGAAGTGCTGGGGCGGGGGGCAAAGGCACAAACACAAAGCGCCAATAGATTTGCAGGTTCTCTCTGCCCAGAACAGCTCCCAGACCCGGGCCTGCCCACCTACCATTCCGGCTGTCTGTTGAAGAGAGCACTGGAAGGGTGGATGTAGACCACTTGCTGGTCGATCAGTGTCCGGTAACCCTCCTGTGGGTCTTTCTTGGCAGCATTTCGGAAGAATCCACTGCAGATGGCCTTCTGCACTCGGACTGTGGACTTTCCGCAGGAAACCACATCCAGCTTGTGTCTATCAGGAAAATGAATCAAGAGAGGACAAAGATGTGAGACAACTCTGTTTTCAGAGATTCTACCTTCCAAGATGACGGTGCCCAACACCCCCATCTGGGGTCCCCAGAGTAGGCACCAG